GTGCTCAAAATACATTTGTTGGGGGCCGGCCCATGGCTCACTCGGGAGAGTGCGGTGCTGATAACACCAAGGCCCCGGGTTCGGATCCCATATAGGGATGGCCAGTTAGCTCATCGGGTGAGTATGGTGCTGACAACACCAAGTCAAGCATTTAGATCCCCTTACCGGTCATCTTTTAAAAAAAAAAAATACATTTGTTGAGTGAATGGCCTTCATAGGATAAGAAGTCACCTCGTCACTTATTAACTGTGGGACCAGAAGCTTTTCTAAGCCTTTGTTTTCACACCTGGTAAATGGGGCCTGCAATATCTGTGCTTCCCTCTCTGCACTGTGCTGGGGCTTTACAGGCCATGAGCTCACAACTAAATGAGGCAGCAGAGTGGGTTGAATAGCATTTCCCAAAATTCACATCTACCTGGAACTTCAGAATGCGCCTTTTTTTGGAAATAGGGTCCTTGCAGATTTAATTAAGGCGAGAATCATGATGAGAACTTATTGAATTAGAATGGGCCTTAAATCCAATGACAAGTGTCCTTAGAGACAGAAACAGAAAGAGTCACAGAGAAGGCCACATGAAGACGGAGGCAGACTGGGGTGATGAAGCTACAAGCCAAGGAATGCCTGGAGCTCCCAGATGCTAGAAGAGTGAAGGAGGGCTCCTCCCCTAGTGCCCCTACTGATACCCTAGAGTTTGGACTTCCGACCTCTTGAACTGTGGGAGAACCCATCTCTGTTGTTTAACCCCCTAGTCTGTAGCAATTTGTTATGCCAGCCCTAGGTACTAATGCAGGCAGGTCCGTTATAGCCTGCATTTCTCACCTGCATTTACAGGTGAGAAAACTGAGGCTGAGACATGAGGTCACCTCCCCAGGCTCACACAACTGCTGCACCTGCAGAGGCAGGATCTGAAACTGGTGTGCCGGACCCCGAGCACTGACGCTACATGCTGCTGAGGTGGCCTTCCCACCCTGTGGCCCACTGTACAGTCTTGACTTGAAGCAGAGTTCGATTCCACAGTACTGCTGCTTCTAGAAAGCTGTTGTGGCTTCATGACGGAAACGGAAGGCAGACTAAAAAGCTTCATCTCTACCCTTCCCCTGGCCTCCAAATCATTGCCTGAGCAACTAATTTTCTTTCTCCCTTCCTCTTTTCTACCCCTTCGTTCCCCACTTCTTCTCTCCCTTTCCTGCCTCTTAATGACCGCATACACCCCCGTCTCACACCCAAGATCCCAGTCCAGCCCCAACCTCCTTCCCCAGTTCTACCTCCCACCTCTTCCCAAGCAAGCGCCTCCCCCAGTCAAGTCCTCCCTTGGGGAGGCAGCCCCTTGCCCCCCACCTTGTCTCCCCTCACAAGTTTCCCTTGGCCTAGAATGCCCCCACCCCATACACAGGCACACGTAGAATCTACTTCTGAGTGCAAGCTCAAATCCTGCTTCCTCCTGGCATGCCCCGTGACAGAACTCCCCTCTGACTTCCACCAAACACAGACATTCACACAAACATCCTCGAGCATCTGATCTGTGCTAAGCAGATCTAGGGGCCAGGAAATGCAGTGACCTCACTGTCTAGTAAGGGAGTGGGAAACAGTGACAAGACAGCGAGGAGAGGTGGGGAGCAGAGGAGAACGCTCCAATTCCCTGCAGGAGGATGAGGGCTGTGTCCAGGACAGGAAGGCTAAGGGGTTAGAGTACACGTTCTAGGAGGTGGGGAATTCTGGCAAAAGGAGTTGGGTGGCTGGCGGGGGAGATGAACGTAAGGGCCCGGCCATGGAGTGGCCACGTGAGTCACTCTGAGGCTGGATCCTGTCGACCTTTATTCCAGTGTGTGGGTCTCAGCCCACCTACATCAGAATCACCTGAGGAGTTTGTTAAAACACAATTCCTGGGTCCCCACGCAGCTCTTGGGATTTTTAACAAGCTCCCTGGGTAATTCCAATGCACCCTCGTTTTCCAACCATAGAAGAGGAGAGGATGGAAGCAGACCGAGGGGTCTTAAAGAAGCAAGTGTCATGATCCCATCTGCTTTTTCGAAAACTGGTAGCACTAACCGCACATTTGTCTGATGTTTCTGGTGTTGGTGCCACTTACTCAACAACTATCCCCCCTTCTTCCTCGCTAAAAAAAACCCCAGTTTGTCCAGGTCATCAGGTGGGAGGGCTGTAGTATGCTCAGGGAAGGGAGGCCCCACCCCGGCCCTAGGGGAGAATCCTGATTGGACCCCTTTGTCCAGTACCCACTTTCCCGCACTCCCTTGCAGTAAAAAGTGGCCATGTGATGGTTATGGCCCATGAGACATAAGGAATAGTTTGTGTGCAGTCTTCTGGGAAAGGTTTGCCTCCTGTTAACATGGGCAGACATGAAGGAAAAGCTGGCAGGTGCTGATCCTCCCGCTTCTTGACCTTGGGTGTGTGATGAAGGGCCATCTCATGACCAAGAGGCAGTAAGTCTAAGAAGGAAAAGCCCGTGTGCCCAGGCTCAGTGCAGAGCAGGATGCAAAGAACCTGGTTCTTGAGGACATGACTGAGCCACTGTTCCAAACCCAGAAAACCACCACCACCAAGACTCCTTGTCCTAAGATTATTAGAAAGTAACCACTCTGAGGGCAGGAACCCAGTGTGTTTCATGTATTCCCAGTGCCTTAAACAGTACCTGGCACAGAGCAGGAGCTCAATAAATATTTGTTGAATAAATGTTGGATGAATAAGCAAATGTCTTCATTGTTTATATCAGTTGGTTGAGTCTTCTGTTGCTTGTAGCGAAGGAATGCTGACATGGTAACTTTTCTCTCCGGCCCTGAGAAGCCCCTGAGACCAAGAAAGGGACTGGGTATTACTGATCACTGTATCCCACAGGCTAATCTGTGATTAGATATGACACAAGGCTCACATCTAGTAAAAATAAGCGGCTATTTCTCAGGGAAGTCCCCAATGCTGCCCTGGACCTAGTTTCTGGATCTGCAAGCTGGGTGGTTGCGTCTGTGAGTTCCCTTCACCCAGACCTAGGGTGAGAAGCCTGTGAGGCAGGTGATGAGAAGAGCTTAAGAAGGTCCACTGTGGATCTGCCACACCAAATGATGTCCGGGGCCATGTCAACTGCAGGCTGAGAAGGTGGAAGCTGGCAGCAAGCATTGCCACTAGATTCTTGCGGTGGAAAGAACTTCCAAGAATAGCCACATGCAACCTCCACACACGTCATGAATTAAGCCACTGTCATCAAGTCCCAATTCTAAGTGTGGCAGCCCTGGGAAGAGGAGGAATGACGGTTGAGGAACAGGGCACGAGCAGCTTCACACAGGCAGGATCTCTGGAATGATCTGGTCCTGCTCCCTTGTTTTACACATGGGAAACTGCGACCCAGGGAGGGTAGGCAACTTGCCCCAGGGCAACCAGTGAGCAATGACAGTGTCTAATTGTGAACTCGGGTTGGTTTTAATCTTAAAAGGATTGTGGATTTGGGGGATGTCCTTTCAATAATGCACATTTACATGCAAAATTTAGGATGTGCAAAGACCTACTTCCCTCAAAGAGAGTGTCCATAGCATTCATCAAATTCTCAAGGGGGTACGAGACTAAAGAAAAGTAGAAAGAATGGAAAGGGTTATGCCAAAGTCATAAGCCAAAGTCACATGGTGAGTCACAGCAGACCTGAGACAACCACGTTTATCCTAGATTCTCAGTCACTGCCGTACTCTTCCTCCCCATGGGAAAGGCCATTTTATTCAATGTGCCTGATGGGCCTTGTCCAGTGGGAACACCATGGTTTCCAACAGGTGGAGGCTTCTGCTGGCATTGCCCATGGACACTGGCAGAGAAGTAGGAGCTGCCCAAGAACTAGCTCACCCTGAACTCTGCCCACAGGGGCTCCAAGCAAGGCAAGGGCCACAGGTCCACGGCCTCTAGAACCTGAACAGACTTCTAGGAAGACAGGCTTGCCCTTTGGTTCAAGCTGTTGATATATGTCATGGTCAAGTCTTCCACATGTTTCCACAGACTCCACTGGACACCATGCTGGCTCAGACAGAGTCAGCTCCTGAAGCAAATGACAAATTGAACACGACGGCAAAGTATGAAAATTAATCAAGATATTTAATAGACAGTGCAAACCATAATTTCATCTGAATATAAATGTATGCACATGTTTCCAATGAGTTATCTATCAGTTATCACAAACAGCAACAAGGACCTTAGAGCTATGTTAGAAAACTGTATAGCTGGAATCTCACTTGCTCTCAAGAGAACACCGTTCATTTCAAATCATTGTCACAAACTCCAAAAGACCAGAGGGTGAGAGTGAGGGGTGGGCCAGAGCGGTAAACACACGGGCCAGTTCACAGGTGATGGACAGACACAGCTCTCGTGGAAACCGAGGTCAGATGCATTATTACAGCTAAGACAAGGAAAAGCCTATGGCTTTAAAAAAATGACTTTTTTTGCCAGTACCATACAAGTCTTACAAAGAGATGTGCGACAAGTCAACTGACTTAAGAGGACAGAGGCTACATTTTCAGGTCATTTCAATTGCAAACAATCAACCCTTTCCATTGAGGATTCAGCAGTAGAGTTAGCATAGTCCAGAAGCTTGATGTTGGATTTGCAAATACAGTTTATTTTACAGAAATTCAACATTATAAACAGCAGGCACCTCCCACCCCACCCGCCCGCCCC